TTATTTTCCGTGCAAAGCACGACGCGGGGATGGTACGTCAGAGCAAGTCTCCTCATTTGTCCCCTACGTCTTGTGTTCGAAAACTGAACGGCAAGTGGCGTATCGTTTATACTTACAATAAGATCAACGCGGCCACCATTTCGGCACAGACGCCGAACCCAGAAATGGTGTTCTTCAAAACAACATGGTTGCACAAAGTACAGTGCACTCGATTTGGTAGATGGGTATTACCAATTGCTCATGAGAGCGAGTGATATTCCGCTAACAGCGGTGAACACTCCGAGCGGCATGCTCTGGGAGTGGCTGGTAATGCCCAAGGGCTGTTTAATGCACCAGCAGCATTATATCGTCTTGTGACGCAGTTGTTCTGGCCCCACAGGGCACATGCTTTGACGACATTTTCGTTCACAGTCGTGCGGGGCACGGGAGGAAGGATGAAGAGAACCACATCGTTCATTTAAGAGCAGTGCTCGAGTGCATGCGCACGAACAAACTGTACGACAATGCAGACAAGTGCATCATTGGCGCAGAAGAGATTCCCTTTTTAGAGTGCTTCATTGGGAAGCGTGGCCTTCCAGCGAAACCCGCAAAGGCCAAGGCCATTGTAGATTGGCCGGTTCCAAAGAACCAGCAGGACTTGCGTAAGTGGCTTGGTCTTGCCAATAACTTGCACAAGTACAGCGTAAATTACGCAGGAATGGCCCAGCCATTACCCAACCTTCTTCAAAAGGATGCAGAATTGTGTTGGAACACCGAACATCAGAAGGCTTTTGACGGAGTCAAAGACAGCCTCCTGCATGCGTCAATACTGGCGCTGCCAGACCCTGATCGTTCTTATAGCGTCGTCTTTGACGCTACGGATTCCGCCATCGGCTGTGCACTGCTGCAAGCAGACACCGTGGGGCGAGATCGAGTGATCGCGTTCGAATCTCAAAAGCTCAAAGCTGCAGAGAGGAACTACCCAGTTCATGACAAGACGCTACTTGTGATGAGGTATGCACCTGTCAAGTTCAGGGTCCACTTGCTCGGCTCCAAGCCGTTTGTGATTTACACAGATCATGCGTCACTACGCACTGCGACTCAGTCGCCCCAGCTCTCGCAGAGGAATATAACTTCGAGGTGAAGTATAAGCCGGAAAAGCAGAATGCTTTGGCTGATGCG